TGCAAGTAAATGCAAAGGATGCTTTATAAGTTGACTTTGTAATTCCTACCTTTTTGGAGAAAGTGTCAGCAACCTAGTATGCTTTTGTGTGCTCTAGACCTGTGATTGTATTAGGGTATTTTGGGGGACTGTGTTGACCACTTTTGCTTTGCTTATGGTCGTTGGTTTTGTCCCTGGGAGGGGGAGGTCACGTTTTGAAGAGTGTTCTGGTGAGGAGAGTGCTAGCCTCTCGAATGCCAGGTCAAGTGATTATTTTGTGAGACATTGATCTATTTCACTTTGTTACTTCTTCCTTGTCAGACCGGGAAGGAAGAACAGATTCATATTACTCAGATTCGGCATTTTATCATCTATTCTTGTTCTGGTTCCCATCATAATGCAAGACCAAAAACTATCTGAAGACCATGGTAATGACTAAGAAAATCAAACATTAGTTCAGACTCTCAAGGGAAAAAAAGGTTAAATGTTTAACAACCACGAGAGTGGATTCAAAAGTGAAAGACAAATCATAGGGCTAGCGCATCAGTCAGATTTATTTTCAGTTAGGAGCATATAAATTTTTGCCGTAAAATTTTCAAAACACGGCGAATGGTGATTGGCATTGGAATACAGGCCCTTTAAAGGAAAGAATAGGTAGACAGATTATTCTGGCAAAAGAGATGTTTAAAAGCCTTACATGGCCGCTTGGTAATTTATTTATCAAAAGACAAGCTCGTTTTCTTAAAACTTAAAATTAGAAACTGATGTACTTATTTCTGTATTTTCCTTCTTCGCAACAAGGAGTCTATTAATGAAAGTGTTTAACAGGCCTTGTCTGACCACTACCTCATTGAGAAAGTTATATATGCCCTTTTATGGGAGGGAGGGAGACAGAGAGAGAAATAAGGGTTTGGTCATCTAAAGTAACCTCCACTTACAGAAGTATGTTTAACTTAAAAGCTTAAATTACGTTGCATGAAGTTATATTATTGTTCTACTCACAAATAGCGAACATCTTATGTGTTATATTTGAAGGTCAGAGCAATGACTTCGGCTAAACTTGCAAAAGCTCTATAGAAAGCATCTGAACTTTATGAAATGAAAGGGAGGATTATGGCTTTCCTAAATAAGCTATGGATTGTTGGTTTGTATTCCTGTCTAGAAAGCTAAATCTGGTCCAAAAGAAAACATTTATTATTGCAAAATCTACGTCAAATCAAACTAAAAGAATAGCTTGCTTAGCCAGCAGTAATCAGTGGATCAATCATTGATACTTCCATAAATTTGAAAGCAGAAAGCCTAGCTACGTTTCAGGTTTTTTAATTTAAAAAAAGAGGGAAAAGGATATATTTTAAAACTTGATACCACATGACTGAATTTTTCAGAATAAAAATTTCCACACCTTATATCTTCATTGAAGAACTGGAACAGCAAATAAGTGTACCAAACTACAATCCTTCGAAATAAATGATACCTTCATACTGAACAACTCTTGCCGGAATACCCGAGTAGCAGTTTACATCATTCTCCCATCTCATGGTAATCTTGATTTTGTACCATCTGCATTGCAAGTAGAAGCATTGGCAAGTAAAGATAACACACAAAACTAAGTAATAAAGCTTTCCCAATGTACACAACATTCACAAGAAATATCGAAGTTCGCAAGAAAGTCGAACTTACCCCTTATCAAAAAGGTCAAGATTATGAAACCTGTGAACATAAATGGCAACTTCATGGACAGCGTCCATATTCAGCTGCTTAGCAGTTGTAGCTGGCGGGTCTGGTTGCTCAACATTGAGCAACCTTTTCGTTGACAAACTCCTATGACTCAACAGCCATCCTAATCTCCGAAACATGAATTGTCGATATTGTAATGCTCAAGGCCCAAATTATCATCCCCTTATTCTTTCAATGGCAAGTTCAGTATAACCCACGATTCCTGAATCATAAAGGAACCGACTTTATCGCCTTTTTTGTCCAAAGCAAACCAAACACATTAAAGACCTTTCACTCTTTATTCATACGATTGAGATTGACCCTCGAATTTTAGAAGGAAATGCTCAATGCTCAAATGATCATCGCTCATTTATTCCATGCAACTTGAGCATAACCCTTAAGTCCTTTCTCCCACCTCCTTTTTCAGAGAAAACCAAAATCATCAATGATCTCTTCGTTCTGCACAAGTATGATTGAGCCTGACCCTCAGATTTCAAATTTCTAAAGAAACTGGAAATGTGGGTCCGGGTTGAAGAGATTGATGATAGGTTGGAGGAGGAGAATATGGAAACAGGGAAGGTAATGGGGGAAGAAGAACGCGGGGAAACAAGAACTATCATGCGTGGTGGGCGACAATAATTCATACACTGGTGGGCATAAGGATTGAACCAAGAGAAAATCATGCCCGTCAAACCCATCGAAGGTGATGCTATTAATGAATAATGATATTTTCTTCTTCTTCTTCTTTTTTTCCTTTTTTATTTATTTATTCCCCCGAAAAGATTAAAAAGGGGATCTTTTGAAAATCGCACCGTTATAAGAATGTCGTGTCAGGGAAGATCCATGCGGCCATTTCAGGTCACCTCGTGATGTTTTTGACTTAGTAGAATCGAAAATCACGGGCGTAATCCAAAAGGGTCGGTGTCGCCAGATCATTCCTTGATCGAACCTTTGACTGTGTAGTGTTTTGACTTTTGGCGTGAAAAAATGGTTCCTGATAAAGAAAAGATAAATGGGCCAATCTTGATTTATTAATTCCTCCCCGTAATACTACCTCCGGGCTTTAATTAATACAAGAATTTTTATTTTGATTCTAAATATAAAATTTCAATTTATTTTATCTCTTATGTTTATTTATTTTTGTTCTTATACCCCTTAAAAGTTTATTTTCGCAGGCAAAAATACCCCGGTTGTTATCTACCATTAAGTTTGACAATTAAATTATGTTGTTTAATGAGTATTTTTACTGATCAAACTTAATAGTGAATAACAATTCAAGACAAAAATACTACGAAATAATACTTCAACAGCATATGAGATTGAAAAAAAATTTCAGGTACTGAATACTCTTTTGTGAATACTTTCAAAGTATTTAAGTACCTTATCCCATTTAAATATTAAAACTTAATATAACTTTTTAAAAAGATTTATACTATGTTTCTCCGAAAAAAAAAATCTTGAAAATTTTCTCTCTATTTTCAATCGGAAAAGATAAGAGCTAAAAATATGCTATTTACATGAGTGGGGTTCGGGGAGCCCCCATTCTTCGAACGAAAAAAAAAAGAAGAAGCCCGTGCATACGAAAAAAACACAATAAATGCTGCAAATAAAACAAAAGATCCAAAAATGCTAGATCAATCCCCATTCATAAATAGTGTAATTTATTAGAATTTTCATATCTTATATAATCTAAGTTGTATATCTTTTATGGAATGCTATTGGAATCTTAAACATCCCCTTACACTCAAAATATCTAAAAAATTGACAGAAATGCTTCAAAATTGGTTGCAGCCTTGCAGGATTAACTCTTCAAGAGAGTAATATTTTTTCCGGCGATCTTAAGAGAGTAATATTTGTTGTTATACCAGTGCGTAAAAGCATGAGAATTCGCACCAGAAAGTCAAAATTTGATCCGTATCAATGTTGGATTCAGTCACTTAAATCTGCTTTAAAATGTTCTTCAAAAATTTCTCAGAGGGGAGAATCAGCTAGTCAGTTAATATTCTCACCTTTTTTGTCTTTTTTACATTCACCATATCATTGAAATGAATATCAAGAAAATATAGTTACATTGCATATGTTAAATTGTTTTTTTAAATATATATCAATTGATTTTTTGAAGTCACAATGTATATTAATTAATCTAAGAAATAATGCGCTTAAATATTCCAAAAGTATACATGAACATGAAAAAACATGCAATGCCTAGAAGTTTTTTTTTTACTCTTATATATCCTAAAAGTGTTATTTCATAACATTTATGTTCCAAACTGTTATGCGTCATTAAATTTGATCATTAAAAACACTAATCAAACTGTATAATTTAACAATCAAACTTAATTACGGATAACGGCTAAGAGATTTTTGTTACCAAAATAAACTTTTAGGGCATATATATATGAGCCACAAAAAGAACCTTCAGCTACAAGTGCTCCTTCGTGAATACTTTCACAGTATTTAAGTATCTTATCGCTTGATCTAATAATGAATGCTAGCATATTATCAAAGAACCTCCAATTATACAGAGAGTAAATTAAAATCTTGACCGCTCTAATGCATAAGTTTTCCTTATCTCCATGGGCATCCATGGCCTATTTTTATATCAATAACTCAAATTTTGTACAAGTCCATTAATGAACATGTTCGAGGAAAAGTCTGGTTACATAATTTGAATAGGAAAGTCCAAGTTGAGTCGATGAAATCCTGTTTCAATGTAAGGCAGCATAATTTTCAACAAAGAATAGAGCAAGTTCAACGCCAAGTAGAAAAGAATGAAAACGAAGGACTGAAGGAAAGGAGCAAATCAAAGTCTGTATAATTTAAGACATTAAATTTTTATATACGTACATAATAAATTCAAGAGGCAGAATACTGATTAAAAAATAAAGAAGAAGCAGAATACTATGGTGGCTAAAACTATATACTCTTCTTAATTAGTCCCTATTACAACTTTCATGAGGCCCTTCTTCCTAAAACCCAGCAGAATCAAAGATCTTCTATAAGCAAAGGATCCATGTCGACTAGAGTATATATCTACCTTCACAGTTTAAATCAAATCACTTTGAATTGCTCTGCTGATGCTATTTTCTCTATACAACATAAACCCCAACTGATCCTACAAGATATATATATGTATATGTATATGTATATGTATATGTATATATTATATATGTAACTTGAGCTAAGGTATTCTGAAAAACCTGAAACTTCTTCCCCCTTGTTTCATACTTTTTTCTATTTTGCCTCTAAAGCTCTATCTATCCTGCTCTTTCTGATTACTATCTACAGATGGCCCTGAAAAACAACAGACAGCATCACCACTGAGCTGAACTCACCCTCCGATGCATGATCCGAGGCCTAGCGCTGCCCTTCTCCATAACTGGAAGCAGGAACTCCATGAGCTACAGACATGAAATTAGGCTTGGCTTCAGGGTCAACATATCAAATATCAAATATGATTTGCTTCAAGATAAAACAGTGAACCCCATTGCAGAGTGTTACACCAGATCGATTACAGGGGTGCATATAAACATGATAAAAGCTTATACTACTACAAAATATGCTTCACATAATGATTTTTCCATCATTAGTTTGCTGATCTATTCATGTTTTGTAAAATCAATTCTACCTAACAAAATTTTCACCATTAGAATGCAGAGAGTGGATTTCAATTCAAGATCATATATAGACGAGAGTTAACCAGAGGCTGGGTTTGTTATTAACCTCAAGCCAGACTATTGAAGTAGTCTCAGAATCATCATCTTAAGTGTTCCAGACTTAAAGAAAGTGAAGAGATATTCTACATACCTGCCTGAACCTCTCATTGTTTCTCTCAACCTGCATTGATGACCTCACTAATTTAGATACTTTTCAGGAAAGCAAATTCTTCGGCACGACAGAAATGAAAAGAAAGTAACACAAGGTGTCACCATCAGTCCATGGCGCTTAAACTTTACTCATCTGACCGGTCATTAGACTCGTGTCCATGGACACCTGTACTTACTTGACACAGTGCAAGGGTTCAAATCAAATGGTGACACTTTGATCATCACCCACGCGTGTCCATTATAAGGTTCCTTTTTGAAAATAAATAAATGGTGGCACATCAAAGTTTTTTTTGTGGCCATGTTTTACCCGAGGAAAACAGCAATCATTATCCATGAATACCCTGATTGTAAGAAGAGCAAACACTTGACCAGACACAAATTCCAAGTCACAAATATATAAGAATACCTCAGCCGCTCTTAGCTGCGCGTTCTCTTTCTCCAGTTGTGCTACCATAGCCTCTAACTCAGATGTGTAAGCCTGTCAGCGACATCAGGTTTTTATAAGAAAACACTTCTCCAAACAACTGATCAAAGAGCAAACACAGTCAAAAGAACATAAAATACAAAACCAACTCAATTGAGCTCTTCGCTGATTAAGAAGTCAGAAGAATTTCCAGTTTCGAAACCCAAAACATCAGACGATGAACAGAAGTATGCAGCTTTATTGGTTTCCCGGTTAACCTTCACTAACGAATTTTCTCTAATTACCATGCTCTATCAAAATCAAACAGAAACAGCGTTATAATCAGTTGTTCTTCGTGGAATTTAAATTTCAAAATTAAAGATCAACCTGCTTGCGTTCTCTGGACCTAGCTGCGGACTCTCTGTTTTTTATCATCCTTCTCTGTTTCTGAAGCGAGGCCCTGTCCATGGGTGCCTCTTGAACCCTCCTCTTTCCCCTTCTCGATGATTCTGCAGCTACTCCCCCGACCACCGGCCCCTCAATTACTTTTTCAAACGCCGGCACTGAGGGCGCTGCGAATCCAGCACCACCATCACCAACACCATTGAACGCCGCTGCGTCTGCCCAGTGGCTCCCTCCGTCGGCACCCACCGCAACAGCAGGAACGCCTCTGACGTCCTCCTCTCTGACAGCTCCAGCCTTGATCAAGAAATCCTCCAGAGCAGTCTGCTCCTCTCGACCCACCACCCCTGAGCCCACCAGCATCTGATCACTCCTCTCCACCATCTCCTTCCACACCTCATCCACCGACCTGGCGGCCAATTCCCTCGGAAGCGTCAAGCTCCCCTGCCGAGGAATCGAACCAACAGAACCAGATTGAGCATTGGCAGCCGAACCAGGTTCAGGTTCAAAGGGAGGGTTAATGAGCTTGAGGAGATCATCCATACTCATGGAAGGAGAGATCTTGGAGAGATCAGCAAGAGTTGAAGAAAGAGAACAGGAAGAAGAAGAAGACTGATAAGGCAGATCTGTAATCGCAGTAACAACCTTAGAAGCCGCCATGCGTGAATTCCCAAGAGATTTCTGCGTTTCTGTGAACAGATTCTGAACTCTTCTTGCTTTTTGAGTGTGAATGGTGAACAAGACGACATGAACAAAGAAGGCACTGAAAGTGTGACCTTACTTCCATTTGGGATTTGGATATATACTTAGCCTACACAAATAAACAAAAATCCAAAGTTCCTTAAATGTTCTATAAATAATAATTAATAATGATGCATTTAATTTATGTTATTTCTTGCCAGCCTATCAACAAGCGATGCTTAATTGGAGCATAAATACAACAATAAATGAACTAACTGATTGATTTGATTTTTGAGTGTATATTCGATTTTACATTAGAGATCATTAAAGTCACATTTCTGGATCGGTGAAAGTAGCTAATTTTATCAAAATATGTTTCAAGTAATTACAACTTTGGCGAAATTTCTAAGTATTGCAAACGTGGGTATTGTCCATCTAGAACTTGCTACTAAAAATTGGCATTTATGCCCATTTTTTTCAAACTTGGGGGTTGTTTGGATTAATATAAAACTACTTTTTAAAAACACTTTTTCATAAATCGAGACAAACTATTTCACATATTTATTTTGTATACTGTAAAAATACTTTTAAAATCATAGTTTTGTTTTCATCAAATACCTCCCCAATTTGAAATAGATGTTGGCTTTTCTTCTCTAGAGTGAAGTTAGTGGCATATGCTGTTTTGTCAACTTTTTGTTGACAAATATTTTATTATGCGATGTTGTATCACAAGGATTTCTGAGGAAGAGTACTACTTGTTCATGTCTTCCGAACAAATCATCAACTTTGTGATTATGAGTCTACATGATTTTCATCTTCTTGTTGGTGCTAGGCTATTGTATTCTTTTATCTCTCAAGGTGTTTGGGCTTTTAATTCGCTTATCGGTTAGAATAGTTATGTCTGAAAGTTTTAAATTTAGTCGTATATACTTTTCTATAAGTTGGTATCTGGTGTATGAGGTCGTCTTTTATATGTTATATTTCAGTAGTCTTTTTGGTAATGTACTAATGTTTTATTAGTATATTTGATCATTTTATTAAAGAAAATTAAGTAAAACTGGGAGTATCCTTTTTTTGTTTTTCCTGAGACTCCAAGTACCCTTCCACTCTAGGGCGAGAAATACTACTATGAATCTCAATATTAGCTTTAGGCACCTCTATTATACATTATTCTCTTCATTTTTTCTGTCCCTACCATCCTCTTCTTTTAGTTCCTTATCACTTGGCACTTTTGTATAGTTCCTTACCACTTTGTATGTTGAGCGGCATAATTTGCTCCCGTGAATTGACTTACTTGGAAGCTTGCTTGGGAAAATGAGACAAAAATAACATTTCAATTTGGAAATACCAAAATAATCACTTAAATTTGTAAAATCCTAATTTAGACACAAGTGATCAATTTGAGATTTTTAAATTTGTTAAAATGATCATATTGCTCTTTATTTTATTTATTCTTTAAAAACCAAAAGCCTCTACTGGCTGGCCGGTCGTCGGAGCTCTAGCACCAACGGCGTCTGTCGGAGCTTAGGTGGCTATCGTCACTGGAGCTCTAGTGGTTAGCCGACAATCAATCACTAGAGCTCCGGTGTCTGGCAATAATTTTTTAAAAATTTTTTACAACTTTAGTAAAACGGTTAATAACTTTTGTAATATTATTAACAAGTTCAGTATAGTTAACAACACATTTACCAGAAAATTCAAAAAGTAGTATTTTTACAATTTCAGTAATACTGTTAACAAATTCCGTAACTCTATTAATAATTTCGGTATACCATTTAACAATAGGTTTTCTGAACATTTCAAAAAGTAGTATTTTTACAACTTTAGTAACACGGTTAACAAGTCATGTAACGATATTAACAACTCTCATAACCATAATGGCTACCTAATAAATGAAAATTTTTTGTTATACAACTTTTATAGAGAGCTAATATTAAAAATATCAACCTTTATGAGAGTTGTTAATATCATTACATTATTTGTTAACCATGTTACTAAAATTGTAAAATTATCACTTTTTGAATTTATCAAAAAGTCTGTTGTTAAATACTATACCAAACTTGTTAATAGAGTTACGGAACTTGTTAACAGCATTACTAAAGTTGTAAAAATACTACTTTTTAAATTTTCTAAAAAACATCTTGTTAACTGCTATATTAAACTTGTAAATAGCGTTATAAAACTTGTTAACCGTTTTAATGAAGTTATAAAAATTTTCCCAAAAAAAAAAAGTAGTTGCTAAAGTTGTAAAAATGTCCTTTTTTTTTTAATTTTTAAGAAAATCTGTTGTTAAATGTCATACCAAAGTTGTTAATAGAGTTACAGAACTTGTCAACGACATTACTGAAGTTGTAGAATGCTACTTTTTAAATTTTCTATAAAAAAAACCTGTTGTTAACTGTTATACTGAACTTATTAACAGTGTTACAAAAATTGTTAACTGTTTTACTAAAATTATAAAAATTTTCAAAAAAATTGTTGCCCACTACCGGAGTTCCAACGACCTATTGTCAACCTACCGCTGAAGCTCCAAGGACCGCAACTACTTGAGCTTCGGTAATCGGCTGGCCAGTGGGGGTTTTGGTTTTTTAAAAAAGAATATATAAAATAAAGGGCAATATAGTCATTTCAGTAATTTTAAAAATCTCAAATTAGTCACTTATGCCTAAATTAGGATTTTGCAAATTCAAGTGGCTACTTTAATGTTTCTAAGTTGAAGTGTCATTTTCGTGTCATTTTCTCAAGTTGTTTTGACTCTTTCCGGTAAACAAGTTAGTCAAATTTATTATCTAGGTTTCCATATTTTTCTTAAAATATAAGCGCTATTTTTTATTTTTTATTAAAAGCTGAGCGAAAGCAACTGTTTATTTAAGTTGGTCTGTTGTTAGATTCATGCTTTTCATGATATTTACTAGGTAATTGTCATTTGAACGGCTTCCTTCAACTTTGTTGTGCAATTTTCAATTGAGTTCTTCTCGTTGTTGGAAGTTGTGCTCGTGGTTCTTGAAGAATGGAATTTCTCCGAGAATAATCTAGATGATTTTTTCTCCTTGAGTTGTGGGTGTTGGAGTTCTCACGGTGAGCTCTCTCCCATATAAGAAGCCTATAAATTGCATGAGGAGAATTATTAGTGGAGAAAGAAGAAAGGAAATTAATATGATTAAAATTTTGCAACTATATATTACCTCCGGTCCTAATTATACGAACTAGTTGATTAATTTAAGAAAATTAAGGAAAGAAATTAAGTTAGTTATTTGTAATACATAGGTATTGTCTTTTCTAAAATATTCTTGCTAATCAAGTGTATTGGCTAGAATTATTATTGTTAGAAGGACTACCTTGAGGAAAAAAAAAACATAAATATGAGAGACAAAATGGATTGGGGTCTTATATTTATAATCAAAACAAATTCAAATAAGATCTTATATTATAGATCGGAGGTAGTATTATTTAAACTTTATGTTAAATCTTGTAGTTGATAACAAAAAATTGAGGCAGTAACTTCATTGTTAACCATGACTCTTTGTTCTGGAATTGCTTTCCGCCTTGAATTTGCTGCTAACTTCTTATAAATCTCCTCCCTCTCTACAAAGGTCGCGTTCCTTGGATCATCTCAAGTTGCATCATCAACTTTGGATTGGCATTGGCAACTTAGCCTATCATGAGGGGGGGGGGGGATCCTTCAAGATTTTATGTGAAAATTGGTGATGAGGCATTGGCTTATTAGGAGGTTAAAACGCTCCCATGTTTTATGAAATAATTTCCTATTTTACTCGGTGAAGAAGTGGATCTTGTCCTTAATTATGGAGTCTTTTTAGATGGGTAATATTGTTGGAATATTTTAAAAATCAAGAGACGTGTTTTTAAAAAGTCATGTCTCTGTATAAATTTATTAAATTAATAAATTTATACAAAAGGTTATGACTTCATATAAATTAATATATTTATATAAGGGAAAATGACAATAAAATACCACTTGAATTCCAAAAAGACAAATAAGGGACCTGAATAAGCAAAATGACAAAGAAGGCATCAGGTACCAATATGGGATTTTGATTTTCAATTTTACAAAACACATAGTGGGATTTACAACTTTCATAGTGAGAGTTACTACTTCGTCAATGGGTTTTACAACCTGTTTTGAAGGGCCGAGCAAGTTTTGCCTAATTTTACAAACACATAGTGGGATTTACAACTTTCATAATGAGAATTACTGCTTGGTCAATGGCTTTTGCAACCTATTTTGAGGGGTTAGGCAACTTTTCTGTAAAAAACAATACAATTCCACGCTGAATTTTACAAAACACATAGTGGGATTTACAACTTTCATAGTGAGAGTTACTACTCTGTCAATGGGTTTTGCAACATGTTTTGACATCAAAAATCAAAATTCCAGATTGGTACCCAGTGCCCTATTTGTCATTTTGCTTATTCAGGTCCCTTATTTGTCTTTTTGGAATTCAAGTGGTATTTTATTGTCATTTTCCCTTTATATAAAGAGTTATATAGGAAGTTATAATACTAAAAGACCTTACATATTAAATATCTTTTATTTATTTAAAATATGTTGGTTCATAAATCAATATATAGTTGTGACTTTTTATTTAATGTGTTATTATTCCAAAAGATATCTCTTCAAGATATCATTTCATAGTCTATATAAACCTCTCATCATCACTTCATTTAGATTCAACAAAACACAAACATATTAAGATTAAATTCATTTACCTTTGTCTTTGAGTATACACAAAGATATAGTCAAATTATCATTTTATAAAGATCATCATTGTCTGTGCTTAAATTTTAGAAGTGTAATTCATATTCAAGGGTTTTTATTGTATCCGGGAGGAAATTCACTAATCAATCCAATTTGTACTTTATAAGATACGAATAAGCGTGGACGAAGTAAACTTAAAGTGTTGCACACACTTTGAAGGCATCATACATCATTTTCTCCTTTATCCTTTGTTTTGTACTTA